GAACCTCAGACATTCTTCCTTCAGGACAGAAGCCCGGAGAGGCAGCTCTGCTGAGCGACCCCTTGATGAGCGTGGGGAACAGGTGCTGTTCATTATGACCCACCCTCCCCCCCTGGCCCCAAGCGAAGGGCTGGCAGAGCTGCTGGGCAGACAGAGCCTGGCTCAGCGGGGGCGGTGCTCACGAAGTAACAGGCCTCTCAGCGGACAAGGAGCGGAGGAAGGCTGACCCTGCACGCCGGGCCCAGCTCTCACGTCTGGGCCTTCGCTGAGAGACCCCAGAGGTCCTGGGGGAAATGGTCACAGCCCGGGAGGACGGTCTCCACTCGGCCTCCCTCTGGCCTGGAGCCTGGGGTCCTGTGCAGCTGCAGGTGGGCCGGGGCGTCAGGAACAGGCAGAGCACCGAATACAGGCAGCAGCCAGGCCTTCTGACGTTGGCCGAGCCCCGAGCCCTCACCTGCTGGAGGCGGGTGAGCTGTCCTCCTCGTAGTCCTCCTCACCGCTGAAGTACTCGGGCTCCCCCAAGCAGCGGGGGTCCCTGAAGTACCCCTGGACCTCTGGGTCTTCCCGGCAAATGGTGGGGAACTGCTCATCTCCTGAGTCGGACCTGCGTTTGGGAGAGAGGACTTCAGCACCTGGGCAGGTGGCAGCCATGCCCTGCAGCTGTGCCTCCACGTGCAGCCAGCATCCTGCCCACGCGCACCTGGTTTCTCCCTGGGCACACCTGCCTCAACCAGGACTGGGCTAAGGCCACTGGCAACAGCGCAGCGTGTGTGTGTGTGTGTGTGTGTGTGTGTACACGCACCAGAAGTTTCTCTCTCAGTACCTTACATAACGCTGGTGCCAGACCACGATGCCTAGGGGCCTTGGGGCCAAGGAGTAGATCTAATTCGGGGAACAGTACAAGGAAATGGCCCTCGAGACCAGCATCCCAGGGAAAAGACGGCTCCCAGGCCACCTGTCTGATCCCTGCTCCTTCCTACCTGGGCCCCGTGCAACTGCAGAGCCTGGGACAAAGAGACTCCCTGGCCACCCACTTCCTGCTGCATCCGACCCACATGGGTGACGGGAGTTCTGGATACCGTGTCCCAGGGGAGACTCATGCATGATGTCCGCCAAGTTTTCCAAGCCTGCCCACTGCCCCGAGCTGTCCTCATGCTTCCCTGAAGCGTAGTCTTGTGGGCCTGGGTCCTGAGGAAACCAGCTACGCCGCGACACGGCTTCCCTCCAGGGAGAGGCCTGCCCTGAGTGCTGTGTGCTGTTCCCTCTCCCTGGCCTTGAGCCCAAGATCTCACTTGTTAAACCAGCAGACCTACCCTCCCATCACCAGCACAACCACCATCCCACCCACTCCCACCTGCCTCCCATCCGCTCAGCGGACATGGAGCAGGTGACACTGCACGTGTTGAGGGCAAAGGAGCAAACCTGGCCCCTGGTTTCTAGGAGGCCGGGTCATGCTTTCACCAACACCCCACAGGAGGCTTGACCCCAGAAAGCAGCTGCCATTGCCCATGTCACAGGCCCGGGCACTGGTGCACAGCGGCTCTCCCTGTGCCGTCCCCATGGTCTTCAGGGTCTGGTCTGTGGGCACCTGGCACGTGAATGCCAGTCCTTGGGTGGTAATGGTCCCAGGGCTGGGAATCGTTTTTCTGCCCAGGGCCATTTGGATATTTATAACATCATTCGTGGGCCATACAGAATTATCAACTTAAAAATTAGCCTGCTCTATTTGGTCAAATATTTAATAAACTCACCCCTAATGCCTTGGCAGAGCCAGACCAAATCATTTCACAGGCCTTATATGGCCCTCAGGCCGGACGTTCCCCACCCCTGGTATGTGGCAGAAAGAAGCCACTCCCCCGCTCCCCCGCCTCCTGGGTGCACAGCCCTGAGCTATAACATTGCAGGAACTTCTCATCTCTCCGCATTCAGAGAGGCCAACTGGTCACACTTATAACACACAGTATTTCACACATAAGCACAGGCAGGGGGCACATACCTAATGTAAGTTTCATAATAGCGGGCTCTATCCAGGAAATGCATAACAAGGGAGGGAGGGGAGGAGGAAGGGAGAAGATAAACGTTAAATATGTCCAACAGAATTTAAAATGCAGTTACCAGGCTACTACCTAGAGCGGGGCTGGCAAACTGTGGGTCATGGGACAAACAGAGTTGCCGCCTGTTTCTGTATGGCCATGACCTAGGGGTGGTGTTTGTATTTCTAAACGACTGAAAACCATCAAAGGAAGAAAAATATTTCTTCACCTGTGACTCTATGATGCTCACATTTCAGTGTCGAAAATAAAGTAAGTTTATCACACCGTCGTGTGATAAACTGCTTCCTCACTACAGCCGTGGAGCCGAGTCACCCAATGGACTGTAATGTGCTCAGAGTCTAACACACCTGCCGTCTAGCCCTTCCCAGGAAGGGTCTGCCAGCCCGACCCCAAGTCTGCTGGCACAACTGGGGAGGGCGGAGTTTGCGCCTGCTGCCATTTTAAGGAGCGTATCACTCAGCAGGACACAGGATGGCGGGGCCCGCTGTCCTTCAGGGCCATCCTGCAGCGAGGCCCTGGAAAGGCCGTGACCTCGTGGCACTCACAGGTTCCACTGCCCATGTCCACTGGGGATCTCCTGCCTGTGCCAGCGCATGGGGGTGGGGGCAGACACAACATCACCACGTGCCAACACATTGTAAAGGTTACCTTTTCCGACTGGACCTTCCTTGAGGCTCATGGTCATGCTTGTGGGAGGAATCATCCCCATTTTCAGACACATGCTCAAGGCTCCCAATGCTGGGCTGCTTTCCGGGGGCAGCTTTGGACATATTGGCATTATTGAGATTGGCATTGGTTGAGCTGGGAACTTGCTTTCCTATGGAATTATGGTTATGATGGTTATGACACACCGAATTTCCTGCTGGAGGAAACAGCGGTTTCTCAGTATCACTTGCAGGTGGAACTGAAGGCCTTTGGACATGCAGGGGACGGTGGGTGGTATTGGTCTGCTGAAGGGAATCCCTCCTATCACTATTAACATGATTGACATGGTTTCCAAGCAGGGCACCATTTCTCTGCAAAATAATGGGAGAACACACCAGGTAATTTAACAAGCATTTGATGCAGGCTAGCTACGTTAGGTCACTTTTTTCTACATGAAACACATATTCTAGGTAAGCTCCGGAGGATCCCTGGAGAACGACCTGAGGGCCTCAATGTGTCTGCGTGGGGGCTGGTCCCCCTGAAACGAGGGAGGTTACCGATTCCTGAGCCGAGGAGCAAGCTCTCGGCTGTCACTCGCGTGTGCGCTTCCAGTTGCTCCAAGTTGAGGTGACTTATACCCAGCAGGGCTGGCTGGCAGCCCCAGCGAGTGAGGTTGGGTGGTAGGCATGTTCCCTGGGCTGGGGATTGGGGGACTGGGAGGCTGAGGGCCCCTAGCAGCTCAAAGAACTGGCCTGGAGAAGAAGGGGGCCGTGTGGGCAGGCAGCTGCCGGAAGCACCCAGATGCTCATCCATTCCAGCCAGTGGCTGTGGCCAAGCTCCTCGGAGCTGCCAGCGCGGGGCAGAGGAGTGAGCTTGGAGAGGCAGGCCTGGCCCTAGAGGAGGTGCTGGTGAGTGGGGAGGGCTGCTGGGGGGAGGGCATGGTCTGAAAGCCCCCTACGCTCTGGTGCTGGCTTGCATTCTCCGGGCACTGCTGTGGCTCATTAACTGCCCCAACTGGAGCCCTGCCCCAGTATTTCCAGGCGGCCGGTGCATAGCCGTGCGCGGAATAATTACTTTGACTACATCTTCTTCTTCTCCTTTCGTTTCCTCGGGCTCATCATCTTGCAGATCACACGATATAGCCCGCCGGATCTCTGGCCCGATGTCGTGCAGTGTCCTTAACCCCGCCTAGATCAAGGAGAACGGCAAACAGATCAGACAGCGCGGGAGCCTGGCCCGGCCTGGGTCCGGGCGCTGCTCCTGCCGATTCAGCTGTGGGAGGGAAGTGTCTCCACAGGACAGCCCGGGGAACTGACTGCTGTCTGCACGTCACAGGAGTCCCTGCAGCCTCAGGGTTGTAGGGTGTGGTCAGGGGGTCCAGATGGTCGAGCCTGGGATGATCAAGTCCCCACTTAGGAAACTCTTTTCAAATGCCCCCTCCCCTTTGCAGGGCACAGCACCTGGTCACTAGTACTAGGTCTGTCATGGCCAAGAGCCCATGCCCAGGTCTAAGCGACAGTCTGCAGAAGGATATCCTGCAGACTGAAGAGATGGGACAGGAGGAAAGACCTCACAGCCAGATCTGCTAGGGAAACTCTTTTCAAATGCCCCCTCCCCTTTGCAGGGCACAGCGCCTGGTCACTAGTACTAGGTCTGTCATGGCCAAGAGCCCATGCCCAGGTCTGCAGAAGGATATCCTGCAGAGCGCCATCTCCCAGGCCCCGGGCAGGGTGGGGCGCCCAGCCTGGCTGCTGGGCAGGGAGGGACGAGGGCTGGCTGGCGGTGTCCAGGATGCGGAAGCCGCGGTGCAAGTGCCGGACGGCAAGCAGCCCAGCAGCCACCGGGGCCACTGGTTCTGCTAAAAAGCATGGGAGCGAGGGAGGGACACAACACACGGCAACCACCAGCACACTCAGGACGCGACAGAACGACTGGCATGCACACAGACCTGGGCCGCTGTGCAGTGCCGCCTCCGGGGCCATCGTGGGACCCTGGCTGCAACCTGTGCTCGGGCTGAGACCGCGCCAACTGTCAGGTGTCCTCTCGAAGACCACGGCATACGGACACAGGCTCACCAGCCTCGGAGGCCGTGCTGGCCCCACCGCTGACACCCAGGCCCCTCACAGACACTCTGCCTTCCCCGAGGCCTCACACTGGCCTTCCTTATCCTGGGTCCCGGGCTGCCTTGGGACAGGGTCTGGGAGCAGCCTCCCTGTTGTTCCAAACTTCTGCAGGGAAACGCTTGGGATGCTGATGGACCAGATATGGGGGAGGTACAGTCACTGGCTCTGAGAAAAGGATGATGTTCTGACCATCCGTTTGAGGAAAAGGAGCAAGCGGACTCAAAGACTAATGGGCACACGATAGCAGATTTATCCTTTTCCACAAAAAGACTTACATCTGAAAGAGGCACTTCCTCCCTGCCCCAGGTCTAAGGCTGCTCGTGTGTATCGGGGCGGCACCCTTGTTTGTTGCCAGCCAGCCTGCAAACCAAGCAGCCACTGAAGGCTGGCTGTGCAGGGCTCCACCTGCAGCTAACACACCATGTCAGGACGGACCAACTGAGGGTTGTCAGGGGGACCTCTTCCCTGTCCTTCTTCCACAACGCCCAGCAGCAGTGGGCACAGGACGCAGATGGGGCCTGATGACCATACTGGAGACGGCCCAGCAGTGGCCAGGCGGGGGAGGGGCTGGAGGAGGGGATAGTGGGCAGGTCCAGCAGGGCTGGGCCCCCTGGTGTGGGAATTCTCAGATTGGTCTTTGCAGACACCAGTGATGCTGGTGTTAATTTAGAATATAAAGTTGTACAAAAACTTCCCAACAGGTTCTTTTTGAAAATGACGTCCTCCATAGTAGCACCTGCCTAGGAAGATGAGCCTGGGTCTGTTGAACCAGGCTTTTAAGAGAGGACCAGCGGGTCTTCCCATTTCGTGAATTGTGGGGGTGAGAGAGCCACCCAGCGCCAAAGCTTTCAGGTTCCTAGCTAGGAATGCCAGGTCTCGCAGGGGAAAGCCGCACACGTCCCAGAGCCAAGCCCGGAACAGTTCGTGGGGTGTCAATGAGGTCGCCACTCCCTTTCCTGTCCCTCTGATCACAGGCACAAGATGCACATGCACACACCTGTGCACGCACTCACATGCACACACAGGCACACACAGGTACACACCCACACACATGTAGACACATGTAATCACACAGTACACTCACATTCACATATGTACTCACACACATGCATACACACATGTACGCACACACTTTCCCTCTCTTGGGATCCCAAGTCCAGCACGTCCGAGCCCAGAGGGTCATTGGCTTGGAGGGGGACCCACTTGCCATTCTCATGGAAACATCAAGAAGGCAAGTCTATGGCAAGGGTGCAAGCCCTAACGCAGCAGGGCTACAGGCGTGTGCAGGAAGCTGGAGCCCAGTAGTACTGAACAGCCTGTGGCTCATTCAGTCAGCATTTCCTAGGGCACAGTTACCAAGGGAAGAGAAGCTAAGCCAGGGTTCAAGGCTGATTCTGGATCACGGGGAGAAAGGGCTGTTGCGTATCTGAGGCTCCCAGACAAGAAGAGACCAGGCTTGAGACACCTGCTGCTGCCCCCACAAAATAAACAGAGGTGACAATGCACCACGTCAACACCCCCAGTTAAATGATGTACATTAATCCCTGTTACAAGGCAGTGGGCCAGGAACACAGAGCTTAAATAACAACAAATAACCCTGATCACTGTCATCCAACTGATTGCACTAGGTCTAGGAAAAGGAATAGAAAACTATTTATTTGGATAATTTGTAACATCATCCTCTGTTGACGGGTTGACATTTCACTGAAATACACATATAACACAATTGCATAATAAAAACAAAACCTGTCTCCAGCACGTCGTCAGTGATACACCAGAGTGAACAGACACAGGAAGGACAGAGCGTTTGTTTGCAACATAAATCATGGAGGAAATCGAGAGGCGGCCCAAGAGGCCGTTCCCAAAGACAAGTAATGACAACATATTTATTAAAGAGACATCAGAGGAGGAGAGAAGGCATCCCTCTTCCCAGACAGGAAAGCAGAGGCTTAGAAGTCACGGTTACATTTGGCTTGCTCCACGCGGCAAGAAACACGCCGTCTAGAGTCAGGGACTGACTTGACTCTTTCAAGTGGGACCCAGGGGAGGCCAGGCAGGGTGTCTGCCAGGGCTGGGAATGAGGGGAAGAGATGTTACCAAACTCGAACTAAAACGAAGCTGAAGCACAGCACCCTGAATTTATTACATATCACAAAACAGGATAATGAATTTTTTCTAGCACACAGATCGAGCTAAAAGTTAGCTTAGGCTGCTCCAAAAATTCCATAGGCACAAATTCCAATCCCCCCAAGTTCAGAAAACTATCTTAAATCCTTGAAAAAAATATTTTTTTTTACAGCTCTAAAAAAAAAGAACATTTTTTCTTGAAATAAACACTTTACAACCAGTAAAATTGTGTATTCTTCCGTATTCCATATCTGTGTCTACCTCTTTCGGCCAAAATATTATTTTAATTTGAAATGTGGTCATAGCACTTAAACCAACACAATTAAAGCCATATAAAGTCATTCCGTTAACATCACAGTAGAATTATGGTTTTGAATAAACACAGAATTGCTATAAAATAGAAACATTATTGACTTAAGATGTCCAATCATATAAAATATTAAACAGAATCAAGCCTAGTTTCTGGTTGATTTTTAAATGCTAGATGTTATCATAAATATATTTTTAAAAAAGAAATGGCGCTTTGCCTGTAGACTGCTGCTTTAAATTTAGACACCATTTAATTGGGATTTTATAGATATTTACTCTACTAAATGATCAAGTCACACACAAAAAAACCCAAACTATAAAATCTCTCTAAATATCTCTGAAGCAATAGCATAAAATTATGATATTTTAACATCAAAACTGAACATTCATTTACCTTCCTTCCTCTTGCCCGTTTTCAGGGTTACGTTTTCCCTACCGGTGCACGTGTAACACTTGCTCTGCCTGTCTCCCTAAGCTAGTGCCATCAGACACAGTCACCTGCCGGCTCTCGGGGCTCCGGCAGGCATGCCCAACCCCCTCTGAGCCTACACTGTAGCAGGGGAGGTACGAGATGCCTATCCCCAGCCGGCATGGGGCCAGGCCGTTCATCTTCAGGAGTGAGTGCCAGGCTTTCAGACTCCAGCCCAAAGCCCGCGCCTGGCGGGCTCTCCATCACTGGCAGTTTCACCCGGCGGCTGGCCCTGCTCAGCCGGTTCTAGTTAACCCATCAGCAGGACTCAGCCCCTACCCACCCAGCCGGACGATTTTAGACTAGCTCCCTTCAAAGAAGGAACTGGCGATTAACTTCTCACAGATACACCTGCTCACCTACAGGCTGTCCCCCGCCTCTTCCGCATGCACACCCCTCCTTCTGTCATTGCTTTCCTCCAGGGAAAATGTGACAGTGTGTCCATTATGAACCCTCCTCGAGTTATAGAAGGGGTTAGAATCATAAGCATGACGCTCCATGAGTCAGCCACGGTGAGTCCAACCCTCACTGAAAAGCCAGCTGTGACGTCACCCTGCACGTTATCCATGGGGCTCACATCCTTTCTCTGGCTACAGCCTGGAGGGAGGGCGGGCCAGTTTGTTCCTGTCTGGTTCAGTGACCTGCCCCAAATAGCAAAGGCTCAGTGAGGTGCCCATGACACCCTGCTGGCCCCACCTTCCACCACCAAGACAAAGTCACTGGGTCCATGAATGCTGGGGTCAAGTCTCAATCGAACGCATTCGTGAC